TCTCCAGTGGGTCCAGATTCCGGAGGCTGTCGTCCACCTCTTCCTCAGGGCAGCACGACTTTGAAAACGAGCTGGTTGGTGTCCTGTGGCCGGGGCTGAGGCGGGGGGTGGGGTGGGCGTGAGAGGACTGGCGGGGGGGTCAGGGCAGCTGCCAGCTGAGCACTGTGCCCCTGTCCTGGTGAGCAGGGACAGTTGTAGTAGAGAGCCCCGCGAGGGGCCGGCCCTGCTGGACCCCAGGCAGAGAGGGCGGTGGAGCCTGCTCCGCCAGCCTGACCCTCACACACCCCGCCTTGCGTGGCGGTTAATTATTAACCTGTCTGTGAGGTTTGAGCCAAATGTGGGCAGGAACCCTGCCTGTGCCCTGGGTTCCCAGCACCGGGACCTGGTCAGTGCTCAGCCATTGCTAAGTGAATGACGAAGCCACCGTTTGCATTTTCCAGCCAGGTAACAGCCAGCTTTAGGGAGCATTGATAAGAGATAATAAAACCTTGTGTTCCAACTCCTGCCCATGAGGTGCCCGGTGTACCAGGCTCAGGCCCCGTCTCCTGCCCATGCGGTGCCCGGTGTACCAGGCTCAGGCCCCGTCTCCTGCCCATGAGGTGCCCGGTGTACCAGGCTCAGGCCCCGTCTCCTGCCCATGAGGTGCCCGGTGTACCAGGCTCAGGCCGTCTTCTGCCGGGTTTCTTCCCGGGCGGTTTCAAAGCCTGTTTTCCTTTCTCCGGCTGCCCCAGCACCTGGCTGCTCTCCATTCCACATCTGTGACTCCGCTCCAGTCTGGGGTGCAGTTAGCTGGACACAGAGCTGGACCTGGCTTTAATTAGGTTTAGGGAGACATTTGGATTGGGAGGTAGGGGCCCCGTGCTAATCCTCCTCTTGGCTCCTTGTTTCCAGGGTTGCTGCCCCTGGCTGACCGCCATCTTCCAGCTGCAGTGAGTGCACTGTGGGGGGCCGCCAGGGGCGGGGCTCTGTGGGGTCTTTGGCCAATCGGGAGGAGAGACCCAGGGATGTGGTTCAGTTTAAGGCAAGCAGTGTGTCGGGGTGAGAGTACGGGCATTCCTGTCACCTCAGAGTTGGGCCCAGGCTGGAAGGAGGCTTCTGGGACTGGAGCCTCCACAGCAGAGGGGTCTCGGGTCTGCTGAGCCCCAGGCTCCCCAGCTGAAGCTAGATCCAGAGCCCCCACCTCCCCCACACTGGGGTTTGAACTCAGGGCCTCACATTGCTAGGCTGCCACTCTACCAATGAAGCTCCAGATCCAGCCCAGGGCTGCCCAGATTCTTCAGCTCTCTGCCCCCTGAGCAGCTGGGAGTTCAGATGTGAGCCACCCACTAACCCAAGGTTTCTTGAAGCCAGCAACAACTTCCTTTCAAAACCTTCCGTGGAGATTTTAGATGCTAAGCATTCCCCCTGCCCCAGCTTCTTCCTGCTCTGGGTCTGGAGCTCACGGTTTCCCCACACAGCCGGGGTCCCGCCGCCCGCCAGCCCGGGGCCAGTCTAGGTCCTCCCTGTCCTGTTGCTCACGTGGACGGGCCAGGCGTTGTTCCCGCGCGTCTGTGGCCGGGCTGCCCCATGCCCCTTCCGGCACTGCTGTCTCACGTGCTCAGCACCTCTGAGCATCTCCTGGACCCTAGACTGGCACCTGGTGCTGGATGCCGGTGGAGGAGGTGGACAGTGGGGGGCCGCGGCTGAGCCGCTCTGCGGTGGTGCAGCCCACGCTGGCCCGTGCGGCGCCCGTCCTGTGGCCCGGCTGCCTCCTGGCTTCCTGGGGCTGGGCCTGGGGACCCATCTCTGGGAGAGCAGGAAGCGAGGTTACGTGCCTGCCCCCTCCCTCTGAGTCTGGCTCTCCCCAGCCCAGTTTTCCAGTCACCATTGGCCTGGTGCGCTCCGGGGGCACTTGCGAGGGGGAGGCCCCAGCCTCAGGATGTATCCCTGGTGTGCCCTCCCGGTGTGCCCTGAGCCTCTGGTGTGGACCCCGGGGCTCACGGCAGGGCTCTGCTGTCGGGAGCCGTGTCCGGAGCCCTGAAAACGAGCCAGGTGCTCGGTACCTCGGTGTCCTGGGTCACAGCTGCGGGCGGCCGCGCCAGGCTCGGGCTGGCCGGTCACCACCCGTCTGTCTCCACCAGCGATGACCAGATCCTGGGGTGGTGCGGCGAGGACGCCATCCACTACCTGTCCTTCCAGAGACACGTCATCTTCCTGCTGGGGGCCGTCAGCATCCTGTCCCTCTGCGTCATCCTGCCCGTCAACCTCTCGGGAGACCTGCTGGGTGAGGCCCGACCTCGGAGCTGGGGAGGGCGGCGGTCCCGGGACGGGCTTGCGGCTCCTCCAACCAGAGCCCCGGGCTCGCCGAGCTCCTCCAACCAGAGCCCCGCGCTCATCCAGCTCCTCCAACCAGAGCCCC